TTTTTTTTGTTTTTGTATTTGTTTTTTAATAATAAAAATAGGTATAGTTGAGAGCTTGATGGACTCTCCTCTAAGCACTTTTGTGCTCATATTTTTGTCATTCACTTTGGTTGCATTGAGACCATTTTTGTCCACTTTTTCATTTTTTGTTTCATTCTTCGTTGGCTCATACTGTTAAGCTTTATATATGAATAAAGTATTATTATAGTACCAAATAATTTCCCAAAGCCACTGGAGGACTATGGCCCATCTTTTTTTGAGACACGGTCTCACTCTGTTGTCCAGGCTGGCGTGCCGTGGTGCAATTACGGCTCACTGCAGCCTGGACCTCCTGGGCTCAAGTGACTCTCCCACCTCAGCCTCCCGAGTAGCTGGGACCACAGGCACGTGCCATGGTGCCTGGCTAATTTTTTTATTGATGCCTGGTGTTTCACCAGGTTGCCTGTGAATTTTAGAATCACTCCTGGGCTCAAGCGGTCTGCCCCCAGGCCTCCCAAATGCTGGGATTACAGGCATGAACCATCGCGCCCACCCTGGGACCATCTTTTTTGTTTTGAGGTGATAACACATTATAAATGATAAATAAGTAACAGGGTCTGGATTCTAGCCTGGGTGTTCTGGCTCCAGAGCCCGTGCTCTAACTGTTCTGTGATGTTGGATGTTTAGGTTGCTTCCAGTTTTCCCTTTTATAAATGTTGACACAGAATCATGCTGCATTGTAACTTTTGCTTTTGGCCAGATTGGTAGCAGATCCTGCTGGTGGTCGTCTAAGAAGAAAGTATTTGGTAACAAGCAATGTATGATACTAACACTCCTTCATTTACTGTAGTTATTGATGAACTGCTGTGGTTAATGTGGAGGGAAATGTATGTTATATTCTTTGTCTGGATCGCTTATGAGAATTGAATTACCATGTTTCTTTGATTCTAAAATTCACATATTCCTGTTTTTACAGTTCCTAAATCATAATGTTTTTGTAGCCAGTATGTACAATTAATGTGGCAGTGTGTGTTTCTCTCTCTTTTCCGTCATTTCTTTTTTTTTTTTTGAGATGGAGTCTCGCTCTGTCACCCAAGCTGTAGTGCAGTGGTTCAGTCTCGGCTCACTCCAACTTCTGCCGCCCGGGTTCAAGCGATTCTCCTGTTGCAGCCTCCGGAGTAGCTGGGACTACAAGCGTGCACCACCACGCCCGGCTACTTTTTGTATTTTTAGTAGAGACAGGGTTTCACCATGTTGGTCAGGCAGGCCTTGAACTCATGACCTCAAGTGATCCGCCCACCTTGGCCTCCCAAAGTGCTGGGATTACAGGCGTGAGCACCACACCCAGCCTCCTTCCTTTCTTTCTCCTGAAAAGTTGTTTTAAAATTGCTGACACATTGTTAAATTTGTGGTGTGTTAGAATCAATGGAATACAGTCTTGTGTACTAGCTTTTTAAGGTAACTGAGGATAAGAATGATTTAATAAGACATTTTATTTTACAGACATTCAGTCCCCTGATGCTGAATATGTAGATTTGCTTCTTAATCCTGAGCGCTACACTGGTTACAAGGGACCAGATGCTTGGAAAATATGGAATGTCATCTATGAAGAAAACTGTTTTAAGTATGTGTCATTTTCATTTAGAAAAAGTCATGTAAGATGTGGTGATTTCTCTTTATAAACAATCATAATGATTTAAAATTAAAAATAAAATTCACTTTGTTAAAAGATGTATTTGTACAAAGAAACATAACTATTAATTAATCCAGTTTCCTTCTGGGGAAATGAGTTTCCACAAATTTTTCCTTTTTTTTTTTTTTTAAGACTTAGAGGCATATTAGACTTTCATGGGAGTATTGTAGGCCCTTCACAAATGTTCCTTGAGTAGATTATAGGATCTCATTTTATAGATGAGGTAACCTAGAGCTGGAGAGGTTTACTTCATTTCCCAAGATCACATGGTGGCGGTGTCAAGAAAGGAATATACAACTCTTAATTCTCTTTTTGGTGCTCTCCACACCCCTTTCTGTGACTTTAGTTATTTTACAGTTAAATTGATTTCACAGAACAATTATAATAGGTTTCATTTTTGAGCACTCACTGTATTCTATGCATTGTGGTAAGCACATTATATACGTTTTCTCCTTTAGTCCTTGCAGTAACCCTGTGTTGCAGTCATCACTGTTTTATAGACAGAAACTGAGACTTAGAGAGGTTGTATGATTTGTGTTGTGTCAAAGATCTAGTAAGTGAAACAGCCCATTTTGTCCTGGTAACCATTAGGCTGGAGGCAGTTGCTGATCACCAGGTGTCTGAGAAATGCTTCAGGTTACTCACATGTAAGCCTCGAGGCTCTAAACTTTGTACTTACTGGTTTTTGGGAACAATGTATGAGCGAGCACGTCATGCTCAGCCTCCTGAGTAGCTGGGACTAAAGGCATGCACCACCACACCAGGCTTATTTTTGTATTTTTAGTGGAGACAGGGTTTCACCATGTTGTATTAGTTTTGCAGTCATTTTCTTACTAATTTGTATCCTGATTCCCATAATTTCTAACAATATAAACAATGTATAAGGGCTAAGTTAATTATATTGTGTATTTTAAAATATAGGCTACATATTCTGTTCTCAAAATGTCTCCAGTTGTGCAAATTTTAAAAATAGATGTTAAAACAATCCCTATAGTTTACTCTTAATACTAATGCATATTTATTTTGGGATTTAAAAGCACTTTAGTGACATAGTAACTCTCCAGAAAATTTCTATTTTTTCCTACTGAACAAACAACTTTTATTTAAATTGTAACAAACTTAGCTACAGGGCAAATTGATGTGTCTAAAGGTTACCTAAGTGGAAAATAATCTACACTATTTTTTTCCCATTTTTTAATTTTAATGCTTATATTGAATATTTTTTGCTTATTTGTCTTTTAATTAGGGGTACACTTTGTGCTATACGTACACACACATATACACAGATGTATATATATATATTGTATATATAAAAACATAGTAGTGACTCTAAGAGAAGAGCTTGGCTGCTATTTTCTCTTCTTTCATTTGAAGAAGTGATTAGGAAATGGCCTGCTGGCCGCTACAGTGGGAAAAGATAAGGAACTATTATTACTACAACAAATAGTCACCCTCCCTTAAAGCATTTAGAGGAAACTAAGTATTTTATAATCTCAATAAAACAATTTGATTTTGGATATTAAGCAACTTTCTGAGATAATATCACTTAAATATAACATGATTGGTAACACATTTGTGTTTATATTTTTAATTCTTTTTACTTCTAGGCCACAGACAATTAAAAGACCTTTAAATCCTTTGGCTTCTGGTCAAGGTAAGTTACTTACTGCATTGTTATGTTATTTCTCAGCTAGGGAACTTTAATTCAAAGGAAGGGGAACGCAAGATAAATGGCAGTAACAGTTGAGGTCATAAAATCCACAGTCCCGTTTCCGTAGAGTTATGCCTCACCCTTGCAGAGATTGGTGCTTAAATTATTTGTACTTCAGTAAAAAATATTTTTATAATGAAGTTCCTGGTATTAGATTATCAAAAAATAAAGATTAGGGTATATATTTATTATATATATATTTGCAGACATAGTAAAGTGTCAGTGTTTTAAAAGCTTTACTCATCCCACAGATAAATAAATATCCAGAACTCTCAAATTTTTTCTAAAGCTTGAAATTACTGCATATATTGGGCATTTGATTTCAACTTTACATGTCTTTATATCTTAATAACATTTTTAATATTCTATTTTCACTCAAGGTCTGGCTCAAATGCTGCTTTTTCCATAGAACTTTCCCTGGTCCTTATAACCAGAAGTATCGCTCCCTCCTCATGAAGTAATCTGATGCATGCATTTGTTTTTAATTCTTTTGTTTTCCTCATACGGCCTTTTCCACTGTGTAGCATTATTTTATTATTATTTACATATCTATCAATCTACCCTAGTACTCCGAAGATATGGGTAGCATTTATCTGTTTTATCTCTGTATAGAGCCTGACATATAATAGATGGAGTAGTTTGTTAGATACATGATCAGTGAAAATTGCTCTCATTTAGTGGTCTTGTCTACAATAGTGAAAGTCAGTTGTTCTTTCAGCAAATGATTATCCACCATTTAATATGTGCTAGACACTGTGTAGATGCCAGACGGGCTGTAAAATTAAAACTTACAGAAACCCTGCCCTGTCTGTAATATGAAGAATGGTTTGTTGAATAAGCCATTTCAGTGTATGAGTTCAGACTGTTTCTTTAGAAATTATGTATCCTTATTCTCTTCAAATATGTGCTTACTGATAAAATCTTTAATGTGCTTTCAGCAAAAGTGTAAGGTTTTCATTTTTAAAATTTATTTGAAAAGATGCTGATCTCAAATAGTTAACAAATTTCCTCCTAGAAGCGGTTGAGATTGCATCATTCCCTAAATTCTGGCGGATTTCTCTTTCTTAGATTAGGAATGAAAAATCTTTAAGGCTTTTGAGTTTATACAGAGTCACGTGTGGTGACTCAGTGGAAGCCATTGATTTAATATCAGATGAAATGCAAATTAATGGAGGCGATCATTATGATCTCACATGATTTGATAAAGTTATTAACCACATCACTTACCATAAAGATACATAGGAGCAATTTAAATGTTTATCATTAGGGAACTGGTTAAATGACTTATGGTGTGGTCACATAGTAGAAAATAGCCATTATAAATGTTGCTGTAAATTTTTATTCATTTAAATCAAAAAGTGACCAATAACACAGTGAGGAAAAGCAGGTATCAAAACAATATGTATATTTATAATTAATATATCTATAAAAAAAAAGACATTCACTAAAATGTAAATAGTATCTATCTTTGAGCTGGGGAATTATGAATAATTTTTTATTCTGCCTGTTTTTTATAAAACATGTATTTGCAGTGATTATATATTTCTTTAATAAACTGATGGCATTAAAAAAAGTGGGCAAAATTTTTGAAGACATTTTCAGTAGTAAATAAGCAGCGGCACACAAATTACTGTATTATGTATAATTTGAATCTTATAAATAGTCTGAAAATATTCCTGACTAAGGTTAATTATTATAAGGTGAGGCTGGAGGTTTCAAAGCAATAATAAAAATCTTTAACAGAAACTATATTACAGCTTTAGGATAAATAAAGGTGGAAAAAGTCTCTGCTAGCCAAATAAACATAGGTCCTTAAGATACTGAAAACTACTCTCAGGTGATGGATTAGATTTTTCTCTCCTGTCAGGGTATATTAAATCTCACATGAGCTGAACCTCTTTATGCACACTCATGGAGATAACACCATTTAGTCAAATCAGGCATAATTCATATCACTACCAGATAGAGTTGCAGTCACGAATGTCTCACTTTCAGATTTTACTTGTGTGAATGAACTGTTGGACTAAAACTAGCCATAATGGCTAGTCTTATTTTTATGAAAGTGTAGCATTATAAAAGGGGCACTGGAAGGAATTTATTTTAATAAACATTTTGTTTTGCTTTTCAGGGAAAAGTGAAGGTAAGTATAATTTCTTTATTATATATTACATATATGAATTTGTTTATACATTCAAATGTTTATTATGGCAAAGTTTATTTTTTCTTCCCACCTCTAAAAATCAGAAGAACTCAAGTTTTACTTATTTATCTGAAAGTCTGGAGGTACTAGCACAGATTAAGGGAAAGTGACTTTGTGTCTGGGTTCAGACGTTAGAAACAGCGTGCCTCGGCCTCTGATCATTCATTTGCACATTTTACCACCCTGAATGTAGAAGCATGTCCACTCCCCATCTCCCCCATTGCCTCAGGCCAGGGAAATGTCCTGTCTCTTTTACTGTTGAACTCTAGGATCTGCTGGGTTTCATGTGGGAAGGTTCTGGGAATGATGAGTGTAGATTTCAGAGCTGGCTTCTAAGGTTGATGCTGACTCGTTTGATGTAGGTGTCATTGCCAAGTCTAACTAATGCTAACAGTTTCAACATACATGAGGTTTACTTTCTTTTTGCTTCAAGGATGAAATTGAAATGACATTTGGTATTCCTTTTTTTTTTTTTTTTTTGAGACGGAGTCTCGCTCTGTAGCCCAGGCTGGAGTGCAGTGGCGCGATCTCAGCTCACTGCAAGCTCCGCCTCCCGGGTTCACGCCATTCTCCTGCCTCAGCCTCCTGAGTAGCTGGGACTACAGGCGCCCGCCACCTTGCCCGGCTAATTTTTTTGTATTTTTTTTAGTAGAGACGGGGTTTCACCGTGTTAGCTAGGATGGTCTCATCTCCTGACCTCGTGATCCACCCGTCTCGGCCTCCCAAAGTGCTGGGATTACAGGCTTGAGCCACCGCGCCCGGCCAACATTTGGTATTCTTAAGACCATACGCTTAACAATATGAAAAGACTTAATGGCGCTTAGCTTTAGTTTATCTAGGTGAAATTGCTAAAATGTGAAGTATCACTTTTCTTCCCCTCAAAATCTTCTATTTTCTTCCGAACATTATTCTTATGAATTGCTTTTGCATTATGTCTAGATAACAGAATACTAAAGTCTGATAACATTGCTATTTTATTATTGTACTTTATATTATAGTAACTGTAGCAGCTAAATAAAATGCTGACTCAGACCTGTTTGGAAGAGAAATTGTTTAGCAGTGAGATTATTTTTCCAAAGATGCCTCATGTTTGCTACTGGTACATGTGATTCTACAATTTTCAGTTTTGAGTAACCTTATTTTGCCTTGAGTGTTAACCTAGTTCTATGCTATACTGTAGCCACATTAAAGGAGGCTACTATGATTTTAAAATTCTATTTGAAGACCTCTTAGTATCAGAAAAAAGATCGTTAACCTGTGGGAGCCATCCTTAGAGAAACTGTCTTATTACAAGTATTGATTTTGGCCAAATATCAAAGGGTTATTCCTGAGAGCTATCATATTGATTGTTTAGACCACAGTCAGGTCAACTTGAGAATAGGTACTTCAGGATTATAATATTGAACTGATTTCTTGGCTAGGTGTGGTGGCTCATGCCTGTCTGTAATCCCAGCACTTTGGAAGGTCAGGGCTGACTGATCACTTGAGGCCGGGAATTTGAGACCAGCCTGGCCAACATGGTGAAACCCTGTCTCTACTAAAAATAGAAAAATTAGCTGGGTGTGGTGGTGCATGCCTGTGATCCCAGCTATGCGGGAGGCTGAGGCGGGAGGATCACTTGAGCTTGGGAGGCGGAGGTTGCAGTGAGCTGAGATGGAGTCACTGCCCTCCAACCTGGGTAACAGAGCAAGACTCTGTCTTTAAAAAAAAAAAGACACACACACACACAAACACACACACACACACACACACACACAGACACACAATGAACTGAAATTTCACTGGAAGCCTAGGTCCTAAGCAGTATTATCCCCTAACTCCCTAATTCATGATCAAAAACTTGAAAAAAAGAACCTTGAAAATTTTTATAAGGAAATAAATTCCTTATAATCCCACCATCCCCAAATAATTAATAACTCTGTGCCAGGCACTTTTCTAAGCAATTTACAAATATGATTTTATTTAATTCTTTCAACAATCCTAGGGGTATTATTCCTGTCTCCATTTTATAGATGAAGAGAAGTTCAGCAACTTGCCTAAAATAATATGATTTGTAAGTAGCAGAGTTAAGATTTAAATCAGGCAGTTTGACTCTAGGAACCACACCCTTAGTTACTACCAGATACACTTCTCTGCTAACATTTTGATATTTATGTTTTACATATATAAGTAGTTTTGTCCAACACTTGTCAGCATTAAAGATGATCATATTTTTATCTTATTTGATAGGTAAAGTCATGTATCTTTTATTTTCATTTGCATTTTTTATTGCCTGTAAGATCAAACATTTTTTGCCTCTTATTACCATATTATTTTTTCCTTTGTGAATTTTAAAATTCGTATTATTTATATACTCTTTTTAAGTGGGCACTTCAGCATTTTTATTTAGTTTCTGAGCTTTTTATATATTTAGGATCTTTTCCCTTTGTCATATTTGCAACATACATTTTACCGAATTTGTTGTTTGCATTTTGCTTTTGTTTATGAAGTGTTCTGACAAATAGATGTTTTGAGTTTTTATATATTCCAATTTATTGCTTATTCCCTTTGCCATTCCTTCCATTATTTTTATGCTTGTTTGGTTCATTTTTAACATTACTGTAAGCAACTTTAGTAGAAAACACTGTACAGTGTTTATCATCTCTGTAGCAAATGCATACATGAATCTTTATAGAGTTGTAATGATTATTTCTGATGCCTTTTGTATATTTAAAGTAAACATTTTTATGTATTGCCATGTTCTACATTCTTTACATTCTTGTTGTTTTCTTTCTTTTTTTTTTTTTTGAGATGGAGTTTTGCTCTTGGCATTCAGGTTGGAGTGTAATGGCACGATCTTGGCTCATTGCAACTCCTGCTTCCTGGGTTCAAGCGATTCTCCTGCCTCAGTCTCCTAAGTAGCTGGGATTACAGGCATCCACCACCACGCCCAGCTAATTTCTGTATTTTCAGTAGAGACAAGGTTTTGCCATGTTGGCCAGGCTGGTCTTGGACTCCTGACCTCGTGATCTGCCCGCCTTGGCCTCCCAAAGTGCTGGGATTACAGGCGTGAGCCACTGTGCCCTGCCATTATTTTCATAGTTGTATGTTATTTGACCATGTTGACTAGTTAGGTAGTGTTCTGTCATGTTAATTTAGGCATTATTGTATTTGTAGAATTACTAGGCATTAAATATATTGAGAATGATCTTACTAGGTCATAAGAATATAAGTGATATTTGGTGTTTGTAACATTTTCCTGAATTGCTCTTTTGAAATAGTGAATGGCATGTAATATTATCAGCTAAATACAAATAGTACCCCTCCAATACTGTCATCATTTTAATTTTTTTATAATTTAAAAGGCATGTAATGAATCCTTAGTCTTCATGGCATGAATTGTTATCAAGGATAGGTATTTTCCCATTCTTGATTGATTTACTATTTAAATTCTGCATTTTGACCTCATGTAAAACACGACAATGCTAAAGCCTTTTAAAGACCAAGCAGCAGATTGGTACTTAACTGAATCCATACCACAAACTTTTCTTCTTCCTTTCGAGAAATTACAATTAAGACTTGGACTGTTAGGTTAAACAATCTTTAAATTGCTGTTTGGCACAAATTTGCTATAATGCTTTAAAACTTTTGAAAACCTTGTATTTTGGCATTTTCCAATCTTATGACTTATTTTTCTTTTGATTTCAGAGAACACTTTTTACAGTTGGCTAGAAGGTAATTAGAAACTTTAAAATAAATTTCAATGATTTCTTTTTCTTATGAGATTAATTTTATGTCTACAAGATTCACATATGAAATTTTATTTCTAAGTCACTGCTTTTTCTTAGGTCTCTGTGTAGAAAAAAGAGCATTCTACAGACTTATATCTGGCCTACATGCAAGCATTAATGTGCATTTGAGTGCAAGATATCTTTTACAAGGTATGTGACATTTACTTTTATTCAGTTTACCACTCTTATTTTTAGATATTCTTAAAATTTTCCTGGCATTTACCTGAATGGGAAAAGGTTGACCTGATTGAATATTAGGAAGTAAAAATTCACTCTTAAATGGTAGTCATCAGAAAGGTGGTAACTATAGATATAATTGAACAGTTCAACATACTCTTAACTCTCTTTACCTTCTTTTAAGAAGCTGCTCAAAATTGTCCATATCACTTTGGAAATATTCTTGTTCTCTTGTGGGAATTTAAATAGCTCCTAACAGCACAGTTTGCTATTTGATAGATATTATTTTATCAGAACCTTTTTATTTGTGTGCCAGTATCAGGCCTGGAGTTTAAATGGGTAAAAAGCCTTTCCTGCTGCTGTTTTTGCCTTAATATGGTTGAAAATGAGACTGTGGTTGATTTTCATCAGTATCATGTTTCTTCTGGAATTAAAGTATCACAACTCTGAGAAACAAAATATAGAAACTTCCATTTCATTCATTGATTGATTGCTTGATTGATTGAGACACGGTCTCACTCTATTGCCCAGTCTAGCGTATGATGGCCAAAACTGGGCCTTAGCCTGGGAAGGCTCTTGGCTTTGCCCAGGAGAAATTTCGAAGGCCAGCTGGTGGTGGCAGGGTACAGCAGTAGCAGAGGTACTGCCCCTCGTGGAGGAGAGCTGCCCCCTAGGTAGTGTGCCCAGAGCAGCAGCTCAGAGGCGGTTCTGCAGCCATATTTATAGTCCACTTTTTATTATATGCAAATTATGAGGCAGATTATGCAGAAATTTCTAGGAAAGGGGTAGTAACTTCTAGGTCATTGCTATGGAAAAGGGGTGGTAACTTCTGCATGTTGCCGTGGGAATGAGAAACTGACATGGCACACTGGTGGGTGTGCGTTATGGAAAGCTGCTTCAACCCCCTCCCTGTTTTAGCTAGTTTTCAATTTGGTTCAGTGTCCTGAGTCCCACCTCCTGAACCAAGTCCTCCCTTCTACCTCATGACTACAGGAGCATGCCACCATGCCCAGCTAATTTTTAAAAATATTTTTTGTAGAGACAAGGTTTGGCCATGTTGCCCAGGCTGGTCTGGTCTTGAACTCCTGGGCCCAAGTGATTTGCCCATCTTGGCCTCCAGAGTGCTGGGATTATAGCCGTGAGCTACTGTGCCTGGCCATAACTTTGATTTTAAATGGCAGTTTAAACTCATCAGTAATTTTCCTTTTTTTTTTTTTTTTTTTTTGGAGACAGAGTCTTGTTCTGTCACCCAGGCTGGAGTGCAGTGGCGTGATCTTGGCTCACTGTGACCTCTGCCTCCTGGGTTCAAGTGATTCTCCTGCCTCAGCCTCCTGAGTAGCTGGGACCACAGGTGCAGGCCACCATGCCTTGCTAATTTTTTGTATTTTTGGTAGAGGCGGGGTTTCACCATGTTGGCCAGGCTGGTCTCGAATTCCTGACCTCAGGTGATCCACCTGCCTCGGCCTCCCAAAGTGCTGGGATTACAGGCTTGAGCCACTGTACCTGGCCTGAACTCATTAGTAATTTTAGATCATCATTTTCAAATTGTGTATTTATGTTTTATGAATATGTTTATATTCAGAAGTTTGATTATTATTATTTTTTCATCCTTAAAAAAGGAAATTTTATTATTTTCCATCACATGAATGAACTTGGAGGACATATTTGTCAAAATGAGCAAGGCACAAAGATTATTATTTCATGATTTCACTTACAAAGGGATTCTAAAAAACTTAATCTTATTGAAGTAGAGAGTAAAGTGGTGACCACCAGACACCAAGGTATTTAGGAGAAAGGAGGGTTTGAAAAGATGTTGATAAAAAAATACATAATTATAGTTAATAGAAAGAATAAGTTCAAGAGATATTTTTGTACAGTGTAGTGACTATAGATCAAAATAATGTATTTGTAGTTTTGAAAAATGCTGACAATGTCACTTGCTCTTGCCACAGAAACGTTAACTGTGTGGCATAATTACCTAGAATTAAGCATTTGATAATGTATATATACTTCCAAATATTATGTTTTACAAAATAAATATACATTTATTGATTACAGATGGTAATGGTAGGAAAGCCACTGAAAGGGCAGGCGTTGCTTATGGTCTTATGACTGGCCACTTTGTGAACACAATAAACAAGTTTGCATTAAAAAACCAGAAAATGGTTTAATCTGAAAGTTGCCATGATCTTCAGAATTTTTTTAGAGAAAATGACCAAGAAGTTGACTACAGTTAGTTGACTAAGAATATAAGCTGTAGACTGACCTTCACCCACTAAAAAAAAAATCACATAAAATAAGAGTGAGAAATTCTTCTGAGTTGTAATATCAATATGGAAAAGAAATATTATTTCAAATTTCAAATCCACAGAGATCATTTTATTATTTTTCTACCTTTAACATTCACACTTAAAAATGAAAGATTTTGCATGGAAACGTGCTGTAAGTGTATCATAGAACATTAAATTTAAAATTCTTCACTTACAATTAACTCCTAATTTAATTTCTATGATATATTTTCTAGCAAATTTGATATGTGTCACACTGTGTAAGAATTATTATTATTATTATTTTTGAGATAGAGTCTTGCTCTATCGCCCAGGCTGGAGTGCAGTGGCGCAGTCTTGGCTCACTGCAACCTCCGCCTCCTGGGTTCAAGCAATTCTCCTGCCTCAGTCTCCTGAGAAGCTGGGATTACAGGCATCCACCACCACGCCCAGCTAATTTCTGTATTTTCAGTAGAGACAGGGTTTTGCCATGTTGGCCAGGCTGGTCTTGGAC